ACTGAAGATAGGCTAAGTGAATGTATCTGTGCTCCTGCGTCACATTCCCATATCATGTTTGTACAGGCGTGAATTTAAATGCATTTGCTGTTTTGGAGTGAGAAAACATAAATCCGTAGTCACGTAGCTTTTTAAATAACCGATAAAAGAAAATTCTGGTTTACAACACTTGGATTTTTCAACTACAAAACTACAGAGATACCTGTCTTCGCAGTTGGGAGTAAGAATTGATGAATTGTTCAGGACAGGGGTTTTTTTGTGTCTTTTTTTCTTTTTTAACTAATTGGCAAATGGTGAAAAAGATCAGGATAACAATTTTAAAAAAAAACACCTGGAAGCAGTGACCAGTGAAATTTCAAATTTTCCATTTGATAGATACCTAAACTTAATGGACTTCTTGCTGTTGCTGAAAGTTTTGGGTTTTATTTGAATTCTGGTAGTTGTAAACAATGCCAACTAGTATAAGATGTGTGTCCCTTTCCCAAGTTTGCAGGATATGGGAAAAGAAGTCGCAGAGCAGAACTAACAGAGGTACAAGGTAGTCAGTATCACCCAGCTGGGCTATGGAAGGGATGCAGAATAAAAGCTGTGGTAGCTGTTGGCTTGTGCTGCTGATCTGCTGCCTCAGATCAGTATTCATCTTGCAGTGTTTGTGTACTTCTTCTAGTGTGATAATGAAGCAGTTAAGTAACCTAATTAAAAAGGGAAATTTCTGTGAGGATGTACTGGTGGCTCAACGCAGGATCAGAAGCATAAGAAACGGTGCAAAGGGAGTAAGAAGCAAGACAGCGAGGAATAAACACAGCAGCTGTGTTGGTTGAAGGCCCTCGTAATTGTGGGCTTGGTTTTCGGTTTTGCTTCATGCTGGTTTCTTTTAACTGTTCATGATTAAGTGAGGTACTTGGTTTAAGTGCAGGGTTGAGAGAACATTTGATCATGTAGTTTGGAAGATGTATGTATTTGAGACAAATAATTTTGATTCAAGGATGTGCAACACCTTTCCATCAATGTGATTGTGTCTCTGTCAGCTGACAGGGGATTGATTGCACAACTCATTTAAAAAGAGGCACTGAAATGTTACAGCTGAAAATATATTTATAGGTCCTAGGAATAGCACCTTCATAGAATGCTTGAATACTCTTTCGTACAGAAACTTCTGTTTTTGTTCAGCAGTATACTGAACTTTCTTAATATTGTCTAGTAATTTAATCATTGGCATTACCAAAACTACAGTGAGTTTTGATAGTTGGGTTTTTGTCAGACTTGAAATTTTAGTTTCTGTGGCAGTTGATTAAATAGGTGCTTGTGAATGAAATTTGTTATTGTAAAAACTATGGTATTTTTTTATATTACCTTAGGCCAAAGTTATTAGATTCCATTGGAATATTCAGCTTCCAGACGTTTCCTTTCTTTTCCTTTTTTCATTGCTGTCTACTGGTTTTGTAAGATTTTAGTCTACCTTTCTCAGTGCTGTAATGTTTGTTGCAATCTCCTATAACAGTTGTACTGTGGCAGAGGGAGGAGAACAATTAATTGTAAATTCTTCTTTTACAAAGCAAAAGTGATATTCTAAATTAAAGGACAGCCAGGATCTTATGATTCAGTAGCTGCTTTCTGCCTCTTGCATCATAACCAATTATTTAACATTGTAATTGGAAGTTAGCTGTAGCTCTGTTAGAGTTCTCAAGAGATGCCAGACTCTTAACTGTTTTTTTCATTAGCTCTATAGCATTTAGGGTGGTGAAGTAAATTTTTAGTGAGTTGCTCAGCTAAGCAATTTTGTGACTTAAAAATGCTGCTTTCCTAGAGCAGTTTTATGTTAGTTGCTGCAAATACCTTTCCTGCTGTACAGGTATTGCAACCTTGTTATGCCATCAATAAAAAAGGCTGGAATTTACCAGTGAAATGCTGCATTTCTAAGTTTCAAACACTCCGCATTGTAATTAGATTGTATTCATGATTTCTGAATTATTTCTTTCAAACAGCAAGCCACCATCAGCATTAGTATTTCTTCAAGACCATTATGGACTATTACAGGTTCAGCTTTAAATGAAATATAATAAATATTCTCTGATTCTGCTTACTGCCTGTGAGCCATTTATAGGCATGCTGTGTATTGGGAATTGGTGAGTTGGGCTATAACTTCTGTTAATCGGATTTTAGAGTGTGGATCACACACTACATAACTATATAAAAATATTCATTTCTTTTCACAATAGGAGTGTTGCAGTAAGAATGTTGTATCATGTATGTTATAGCATGTGACATTAATCCCAGTCCTAGTCACTTTTATGAAGCCTGTCTTATAGAAATAAACCTTACGTTGAATTTCTGGCTTAATTATTTATCTGCATAGAAATCGTTAAGTAATGCAACAATTCGTGTTATCATGTAGTGACAACAGTTCAGTGAATTGTGTAAGCAACATTTTGGAAGGTAGCAACTTTGATTTATCATGTTCTATTTTTATTTTAGAGGTTTTAGCATTTAGTGACAGATTTACAGTTAATAAAGCTAGTCAATTCACTTAAATGTCATTTGTCCAGCATTAAAAATATTCAGTAGTACTTGTGTATCTCTGGTTTTTATCAATCACTTGAACATTTTTATTCCAGTAAGATGGTTTCTTGTGTGCAATTTCAATAAAGCCATAAACTGACACACCTATAGTAGAATATTAAAGTAGGTTGAACTAAAATTGCTTTGTGTGTTAATATTAGAGATAGTTTATTTAGTTTACATTCAGTAAAGCTAAGATTAACATTGCTTTAAGAGTCTGTATTAGTTGATCTGTAAAAATACAACAGTGTACAATATTTAATATCACTAAGACAACTGCAAAATACTTCTTTCCCTTAAAATACATATGATAATCAAATATCTTTTGTACGTATTCTTATTTCTTGTTGTTTTTTTTCTTTTGTTGTTGTTGTTGTTTGTTTGTTTGTTTGTTTTGTCTTGGGAAGTAATTATAGGAACTATATCTGTGTGTGCAGTAGCATGTGCAGGGGCATTGTTAATACTAGAAAATCTTATCTCCTCTGTTTCTTCACACCCAAAGAAAGAATCTTAATTGTGGATTTTGCCTGTTTCGCACGTGCACTTCACTGTTTTATTTTCAGATTTGTTGATTTTGTTTTTTCCCTTTTTAGGTTTAAAGAAAACCGTAAAGATGATATTTGGCTCGTAGATGTAAGTATATGAGAAAAATGGGAAGATCTGCTAGTGGAAATCAAAAGATAGGATGTACAATGCTACACTTTGTTGTAAGGCTGCTTCATTGTTTGGAAAATTCTTTGTGCTTGATGCAGAAAAATTTCATGACAGTAATTCTGACAGGAGGGAAAAGCAATCTATATTGTTCAGGGTGAACCAGGAATAGGCTGAATATTGCATGCAGATACGCTTCATCCTATATTTTGCAGTCCTTAAAAAAAGAGAGCAGGTTACCTAACACAATCAGGAGGTGATAACCTCTTTTCAAAATTGTTATGGTTCCGTTCTCTAATTATACCAGCTAATTGGTGTTCTAGACATTTATTAGCACTGCAAGATCAAATACATGAAAGGCTTCATTTACTTTTCTAACTTATTTGGAAAGTTTTGGTGCTCCTTATTTCAGGGACAAGGAATTGCTAAAAAGATTGAGCTTGTTTGTGGATGAGGTAAAATTCCTTTCATCTCACCTAAATATGTACTGTAATGCTCAAAATTGTATTATTCAGATTTTTTATTTTTGAGTGGGGAAAAACTGAATGTGCTGATTCAGAGTTATCAGTAAAGTATAACAAAACAAAATTCAACCTTGTCAGGTTGTAACCTGATCTTGTTATACCAAAACATCGATATCTTCCCTATTAATTTCACTGAGGTGTTGCAGCAAGACATAGGCAGAAAGGTGAAATAAAGTCTCAGCTCTGCTTGGTCCTGAGAAAATGGGGTCAATTTTTCACTGTGCTTCTATAAAAGTAGTTGCTGAAGAACCGAAATCCAGAGGACAGTTTGGGGAAGTAGGTATAGTATCTATTGCCCTTCCCCTATTGACGGATATTGACATATTCCTGAATAGATTGTTTACGTGATCTTTTATCTTTCAAAGAAAAGAGGAAAATATTCCAAAAGATTTTTAAAAATGTTACCACACCGTCTATTTTTAAATAAGAAATCATGTAATAGTGCAACAATTTAATGTATTCTTTTCAAACTTGTGCTTTCATCTTAAAAGTAGGACCAAATCATAAATGCAGCATGTCCTGCTAGCCTTGTAATTAACTTGCAATTTTATTAAGACATAAGGAGAACCATGACTGGAAAATAAGCCTTGCTAATGATTTGAGGGTTAATTGTAGAATCAACTTCTACTAACTTATTTTTTTTTAATAAAATATTTTTGCTTCTCAGTTTTATGCACCTTGGTGTGGCCACTGCAAGAAACTAGAGCCTGTGTGGAATGAAGTGGGCATAGAAATGAGAAACATGGGCTCTCCAGTAAAAGTTGGGAAGATGGATGCAACTTCCTTTTCTAGTAAGTATGGTTTGGTTAGGAGTAATTTCACTGCAGACTCTGTTTTGAGACTGTTAGTTTTTTTCATTAAGTTATTCTTCTGTTCTGTATCATAGCACAAGTATGCAAACAGTCATTGGAGAACAATTTCCCGATCTTTTTCTTTCTAAAAGTGACAACTTGCTGTAGTATGCAGTTTTTATCACATTCATTTCTGCTTGTGTAGGGAATTCTTCCTGACAAATGGAAGGTAAAAGCTTTTCAAAGATCTGCTTTTGATACGCCTCTTAGAGTACTTATATAAGCATTTTATGTTCTGCCTCTCTTGACAGCATCCAGTTTTAGGTTCCTTGTATTACTGTTGGAGAAGTGCTTTGTGTTCTCGCTGTTATTCTTTTCAGGTAATCGGTCCTTAAGCTGTTACAGAAAGCCTGCTGAAATCTTTGAATTTACTCTTGAGCCAATTTCTTCCCATCTTTCTCCGTAAATGTCTTTTTGAAGAACCAAATTTAGCTCTAAGGCTTTCTTTTTTGCTTTTTCTATGTATTGACCTTCTCAGAAAAAACCCAAAACTTTAGGTATTCAGAGAAGTGGTTTGGGTAGATGTGAGAGGATTGTTGAATGCTTAACAGTATTTTATTTGTTTTCATATGCTTGTTTATTGTCATTTCACTTGAATCTGTGTTGAACCAGGAGGATATTTAAGAGGGAAGGCATAGGGAGGAGTGGGGCCCAATGGAGATCTATATGTAATAAAATTTTGTAAATACATGTAACATTTTTAATTAATCCTGATTAAATCTGGTTATTCAGCTTTGTTGTATTTACCTAAAATATTATGCAGAATACTTTTTTGAGTGATATTCCAGTTTTTCTGTGCTTACCTGTAGTAGAGTTTGGTCTTTTGAGATCAAAATGATTTTGTCTCAAACACCAATTTATTGTATGTAGCTTTTTCTGTAAAACCGTAGAAATTTTGTTACATCTTAAAGATACTTATTTGCTGTAGTAAGTCTGGAGCATTAGAAATTTCAAGTTCATTTCATGGATCTCTAGCTTTCCAGTCATATATATAAAATTCTAAATCATATAAATTGTATGAACTCTTACTCTGAAATATTTGCATCTGTCGTCCTGATGCTAAATTCTCATATTTTATACCTAGAACAGAATTGGCACATTGTTTTAGTTCTATAATTCAGTTTTGCACATATAAAAATTACTGAAAGCTGCAAGGGTTCCTTTGTGCCCTGGAGAAGTCTTTCTACTCAGATTTGTTACCAATTTTATAAAACAGTGTCCAATAAATCTCTTGAAATAGTTTTGCACTTTTATTTTGAAAGTGGAAATTTTATAACATCTGGATATGAAAAGCTCAAGTCAGTTCTGCTTGATATCTTTCCAGTCTAAAGATTCTATGAAATCAAAGTAATTCAGTCTTGAAAATATCAGAAGGAAATGCAGCTGGAACTTGTGGACATGTAACCAGAAAGGAACATGAATGGTTGGCTCTCCATAGTTTGTGTTCCTAGTTGGAATAGGAAGTAGTGTGAAAAATCTGAACTATGGGTAGCTTGTTGTCAGAGAGCTGAAATCACAGATGAACATATAAATCATCCAGTAAGTGTTGCCTCAGGTGGCTCTGTGTTATGAGGACACAGGAATTTTATCAAGAGAGGTCACCTGTTGTGTTATCAGTTGAATTTTCAGGGGGGTTTGCCTCAAAGTCAACTGAATGTCATCAGAGTAGAAACACATCACGCCTCAGGCTGGCACAACTGCTGCTGTTTGCCTGTACTGCATTCTTTATATCAAGAAGTGGAGGTGATGGTGTAAATAGTATGTCACTTCCAGGATGTTGAGAGAATTTTGGTAATCTCCAAGCCTGGGAGGTTTAAAAATAATGTATTGTCTGTTTTCTAGTTCTTCTGTCCATGCATGAGAGCTGTTGTCAGCTCTTGTGATTGAATATACATTTTAATGCATTTTAAGTCTATGTAGTAGAGCTGTGAGAGGACAGGATCAGAATAAAATTGATCCTAGTACCTGTATTTCTTAGAACAGTCATCTTTGACTAAGATGCCTGTAGGTGAGCTGCTAGTTTTATTTGTAGTGCTGTGCAGTAAGGTACTGATCCAGGCAAACAACCCTAGGGTCACAGTTCCTAAACTGTTACTGAGAGCCCTGCGCACAAGTCCTCCCACATCTGCTTGCTCTGACATATGGTTGGTAGCTTTAGAATGTTTGTTGTAGGTATTGACTCTTCGTGCTTTTTGAGTGCAGGAATTGTTACTCAATAGGGAATTGCACAAGTGTTGTCAGAATTTTATACTTAATTTTAGCCTTTTTTGAAGACTGCTTAGTTTAACTTTTGGAAAACACTGAATTGACTGAAAAGTATAGTTTAAGATGGTAGTTGCAAATTGTACTCGTATAATAGATGGTAGCAAGATACAAGGTTTTAAACAAACCTGAGGTGGGGGAAAAAGTTCTGCAGTTGTTTTGCTTTTCACCACTTTAGTAAGCAGCAGGTAAATAACTGATTGCTTAGAAAGTGTCTATGTCTGGTGAGGTTCATTTATGTCTGCAGAATGCAGATGTAAAACCTTTTTTGTAACTACTGCAGTATGATCCTGCACTTCTGTTGTTAGGCATTACTGTAGCATATGTCACATGTCTTGTATTTCTTTCAAGCATTACTATTTACTATTGTACATCCTCGATGCTTAATTCTTGCCTCTAGTATTTTCAGTCAATTGTGTATGTATTTTAAAATGCATGGTACCTTTTGGTTAGAACAGGTCAAGCATGTCTATTTAGAGGATTCTCATGGCATTTGAGTTGTGGCACATGAATTGAGAACCTATACTGGGACCCTTCAGCACTTCTTTAAGAGGTCCAAAATTTAGTAGCTTAATAACAGCAGCTCCTTGAAAGCAAGTAAAATAATTCATGTTAAACTAAGTGGGAGTTCTTTCATTTGTTATTGTGGCTTGAATAGTAAACTATGTTTAAAGATTAAGGTAGGAGAGCAAGAAAGTCTTGGTTCACTTTGGCATTAACATATTTCTTTCAGGTATTGCATCTGAATTTGGTGTACGAGGCTATCCAACAATTAAGCTGTAAGTTGATGCTTCCTATGGAATTTCTAACACTGATTTGATGACACTAAAGAAAACGTAGCCTTGTTCATTTAAAAATCTCAAACAGACCAATCACAAAAAACCTGTAAAACCCAAACCAAGAAAAACCCCAAAAAACCACTTCACCATCTCATGGTGGCATTGTCTTTGATTTCTACTGGACTGTTTTGCTGTGAAATTCAGTCATATCCATCATCTTATTTAGAAACAGAATTCCTAATAGACAGGTTAACAAATTGGACTTCATTTAACTGCTGTTTTCGATGCAGTTATGTAGAAGTGTGTGTACATAAATATGTCTTTCAAATATGTATACACACAACTCTTATAAAAAGGAATTCCTTCCTCCATTTGATTTGACATCTTTAGAGTGATTCAGGCAGTAAGTGCATAGCTGAGTCTTCCTGTTACCTTCTTGTAAGCTGCTGATTACATTTTCTTATTTTCAATTACCTCTCTCTTCTCTCCCGTGTACCTTAAAAACCTTATGTAAATGACAGTAGTAGTTACTGTGTAGGGTGAAGGGTGAGAAAAGTTGTTTAACAAGAGAAGTATATGTAGATTTTTTTTTTTTTTCACCTGATTTAAAAAAGACAGTGGAGGACAAAAATTATAGGAAAATATCAATCCATAATGATATTCTATGTACTTGCTTATAACACATGTAGTTTATAGTCCAGTACAAGGTCATATTAAATATTAAGACACAGTAATTTTGGGTCCTTTTTACTGTGAACAGACTGGGGGTTTTAGCAGGTTTTTTTTTAAGCAAATAATACTCATAATATGTTAGAATGAATCTTGTCAGTGACAAGAAGGCAACAAGAGATATTTAACTTATTAATCTTTAAGGATGAAAAATTTTATTGGCATATAGAGGCATTGAAAACTCACTTTATCATTACTTCTTTCCTGTGAGTTTCCTAAACCTATATGGATTTAAAGAAAGCCTCTTAGAATTAGTGAAACTTACTGGAATACTCTAATAATGCAAGTGTGCTACGTCCCCTGTCAGCAGAGTACCATAAGCTGACCAACACTTCATGTAAACTTAATTTAATACATACATTCAGAAGGTTTGGCAGGTTATTTGATACCTTTCAATTATAAAAAAAAAATAAACAAGTGTATATGTTTGTCTTTTATAAAGACTAATACCTCAGTAGTATAAATGTTGAGTGTTTGGGGTTTGATTTGGGTGTGGGGTGGGATTTTTTTATACAGTCATAAGCAAATGTTCTGAGTTATCTGTGTGCTTACAGAGTAAATGACTGTTGTGCACTAGAAAAATAAATGTAAAAGAATGCTAATTATTTCAAAAAGTCAATAAATCAGATAGTGTGTAAATAATTTTTTACTGCATAATTGCATTGTATTGCATTATTGGGTTTTATATTTTGCTGACCACTTCTTTTGCTTCTCACTCATTAAAAGGTGACTGTAATAAACCTGTGAAGATTGAGTAATTCTGCATGTACAAATGTAGTTTAGGTCATTTCAGTTCTGTTCTTTTTTTGTCTTTCCCATTTATCTAGCTTAAAAGGTGACTTGGCATACAACTATAGAGGACCTAGAACCAAAGATGATATAGTTGAATTTGCTAATAGAGTGGCAGGGTAAGTATACTCTTCTGTGAAACTGGTTCTGCTGACTTAAAACTTACGTAGGATTTTGAGCCAAGAATCAAATCTGTTTAAAAAAGAACAAGATACTGACACAAAGTTAAAAACTATATGTGCTATTGATGCCTATCACTATATGTGTCACTGCATGTGAGGCTGGTGGTGAGTGGCACGGAGAGAGTACAGAGAGACTGGCTAGCCACAATACCTTCTTTACAGTGCAAGAACTAAGGGCTTTTCAGAGTACTGGAAACTATGAACAAATGAAGCTCAGGGAAGTCAGAAACAAGAATGCCAATCTAAATGTTGACTGACAGGCATCATTACTAAGGCAGAAGATGTTTCATGCTCTGAAGTTGTGCTTCTGAAAAGTATGCCATAGGCACCATAAGGAAATGCTTTGGCAGGATTGTTCATAACAATTTCCGTTGGCTCTTTTTTTCTTCCCTACAGTGGCCTGTGGCCTCAAAATGTTATTGACAAGTAAACTTTGGGTAGAAAAAAAGTCACATTTCTTTCCTCCATTCTAAAAAATAATTAAGAAGCTGTGATATAGGAACAATAATATTTATTGTTGTTTAGAAGTCTGTAGTTTGAGAATATTGAGGGATCAGAATTTTTTAAGATTTAAGACCACATTTCATAACTGCCATGCTTAAATTCAGAATTTTATCTCTCAAATGACTGAGACCTTATTGTGGCCTTTCACTAAGAGGTCTTATAAGAGAGAAGAAGAGAGACTTTTTATCAGGGTCTGTACTGACAGGATAAGGGGCAATGGTTTTAAACAGAAAGGGGATAGATTTAGATTAAATATGAGGAAGAAATTCTTTACTGTAGGGGTGGTAAGATGTAATTCTTTACTGTAAGGATGCCCCATCCTGGGAAGTGTTCAAGGCCAGGCTGGGTGGGGCATTGAGCAACCTGGTCTAGTGGAAGGTGTCCCAGCCCATGGTGGGAGGATGGGACCAGATGATCTTTAAGGTCACTTCCAGTCCAGCTCAGTCTCTGATTCTGTGACCAGTAAATGGCATGCATGTTTCCATTGTAGCAACATCTTGTACTAAGATATGAGTTTTGAATTTAAGTGTGTTATTTGAGGAACATAGCACGTTATTTTAGGGGGAATTTTTCTTTTTTTCTTTTCCCTTTTAGTTGAAAATAAAATAATAAATTGAAAAATTGAATTAATGTGCATTGTGTAATTTAATTTAAAAAAACCCACAAAAAACTGTATGACATTTTTTTGTGGATTTTTATTTGTTTGGGTTTTGCAGGTTGCAAAAACTAAGGTTTTTCTTTCTTGTTTTTATTTCCCTCCCAGACCTCTTATCAGGCCACTTCCTAGCCAGCATATGTTTGAGCATGTGCAAAAGAGACATCGTGTACTTTTTGTGTATGTTGGTGGTGAATCTCCTTTAAAGGTTTGAAGCTTGATTAAGTAAAGTTACTTCTTTTGGCTATTCAGAGAGTAATTTAAAATATCTTTTAAAAGACCGAAGTGTATGCTTGTAACAAATTCATGTGGTCTTTCTACATTTATTTGTTTTTACAATCTTATATCATAACCCATATTTTCTAATTTCTCTTTGAAGATGAGGTATGTCACAAAGCTTTTATTTGACCCATACTAAAAGTTCAGAAATTAAAAAACATTATTTGTATTTTTTCAGGAAAAATACATTGAAGTTGCTTCAGAACTAATAGTTTATACGTACTTTTTTTCTGCCTCAGAAGATGTAGTGCCTGAGGTAAGCTGTTTCCATGCCTACTATTTTCACAGAAGTGGTGTTGTTCTCATATGTGTAATTTTACTGTTTCAATGGCACAGAGATGGCTTCTTACAGTATATTTGGCTTTGATAGATTCCAAAGTAATTACACTGAAATGTATAATTTTTGAGTCTCAATGAGGAAAGAACACAAACCACGTTTCAAGTCTGTCACTGCTTTGTTTTGACCGAATTAATTGTTCAGTCACATTAATAAAATTAATCAGAAGATATGTGGAACTCAATTTGGACCGTTCAACCTGCTCAAGAAAGTGGATACTTGGACTTTTAGCCAATGTACAGCTCTCGTTACTTCAGACAGTCCTTTCACCAACCACTTTTAAAATTAATTTGGGGGTCTTTGCCATATAGTACTTCTGATACCTTAATAATCAGAGAAGTAAGTGAAGAGGTAAGTTATTTTTGTCCTGTACAATACAGGTGATCAAAACATTAGTCTGCCCGGGGATCAATGGATCCAGTCTACTGGCTGCAGAATTCTCATGTGGCTCTTTGGAGGAGTCTGTAACAAGGAAAATATTGACAGTTAGTCACAAGGGTGGAAAAAATTGGTATTACTGTTGTTAGTCTAATCATTGTTGCTTACCTGTTGAAGCAAAATCAAGAGGCTGTTTCATTTATTGGTATCTCCAAGTGGGACCTAAGTCTATTCCATGCCTGATAAAACATGATTTGGAAATTAGTTTGGGATTAGCAGAGTGAGAACTAGCATAATTTGTTGGCTTTTTTTTTTTTTTAACAACTGCATTTTCGAACATCATAAGTAGAACATACTCATTTTAAATAGTGGATTGTTAGATTTCCAGAAGCCTTGTATCAAAGGCCACCGTAATTTGAATATTGCTATTTGCACTTCAGCCCCACCTGAGCAAGAAAAGTACTGTTCAGTTGTGCAGTGGAAAGAGTGTAAAAGGCTCAAAGTCTTTGAGATTCTGTGATCTCACTGATGTAAGCAGTGAGCTTTTTTTTTCATGGAAGGTAATTTCCCCATTGTCATTAAGCTGAAGTAGTAATATTCTATGGACAGAAGCAAAAATGTTATGAAATTACTAAGTGCTAGAGTTGTAATGAACCTTTGCATAATGCTGTTCACTGTTAGGCTTTGTTTTGTCACCTTGGATAATATTGTTCCAAGCTTCAGGTGTCTTTTGTGAGCCGTAATATGTACACAGATTGATTTGTCCTTTAAAGATGTAAAACTGTGTTTAAAATAAGAGAACAAAAGCATCACTTAGAATTTTCTTATTGCTCATTTGTATCAACTGTTACATTGTAAACCTACTGCTTTTGCATTTATTTCCAAGACAGATAATGCAGAATGATTATAGAAGGCATGTTGTTTGGAAATGATGCAATTCTTACCTTTCCCAAACATATCAGTAGACAATTCAGCCAACATAATTAAATGTATGCTCATGATATAGTTCTTTTTTAACCACAAGTGCCGTTAGAATTTTGACTTTGAATGGTAGCAAGCAGTCAGGAGTAGATGCAGTATATCTTCTATGGCAGTTCACTGAAAATGTGAGCTGAATGAGATTCTTTAAGTTCCAAGAGAAAGGTTTCTACACCTCTTTTTTTAGTATGTTGCTGACTATCCTAAATATCATGATTAACATGGTAATGCAGGTTTTCATTGTTCCTTTTGCCTAAATTAGGTCTGTATGCAGCCTTGTCTTCTGAAGCTGTTTCTTTATATTCGCATCGGTCTCATCCACAAGAAATAGCCCAGATTTAGTGGGATATGTTATCAGTATTACTATTTTACTGTACATTTAGAAGAAATAGCAGTATGACACGTATGCTGACAACAGCACCGATTGGGAACAGGGGCCATAATTGATAAAACCCTCAAGTTTACGATCTCCTATCTAAAGTTCATGTGCAACTCATAAAATATTCTTCATGCTACTGGAGATACTAGTAAAAAATCCTGTTTCATTTACACTTTGTGAGATCTACCTCTCAAAACTACACTGATGTTGTGTTACTTTTATTATGCAGAAGCTGATAAATTCATTTTGGTAAATTTAGACAGAAAATATTTAAATGTACTTAGATATTTTCCCAAGGACTGCATTTCCATATTTTCAGATTTTTTAGTTTGTCTGTTTAAACATCTTTTAATCTTTCATGGATTAATTGAAAACCAACTCTTTCAGTATGTGACATTGCCTGAATTACCTGCTGTTATGGTCTTCAAAGATGGAACTTACTTTGTTTATGATGGTAAGTAAAAGTGGACATTACCCTAAGAAAAGATATTTAAAGTATATATGGAGAAACTGGAAGAGGTGGGATTTTTTTGAAGTTTATGTTGGGGTTCTGGGAGATTCTCCAGTTTTAGAATAAGTAGCAACTCTTCAGGAGGAGAAGAGGAAAAAATAATTAGTTCTTATGCCACAAAATGAAAGGCATTTGTTTTAGGAATACTGAAGTAGAAGTGATGATACTTGCTTTGTGTTATAAGTAAGATGTAGCTTCCAATATTATTATTTGCTGGCTATTAATGTACTTATAAAAGTTACTCCTTCCCTCACTGTTGTAATTCATCATACACAAAATAGAAGAAAACTTACTGAAGAGGAATCACACATATGATGAATTTACAGTTTCGAACAGTTAATGAGATTTATTGTAAGTTGAAAATGTATCACTCAGAAGATTAATCTGCAGTTTTCATTTCTGAAAATAGGTAGTACCACAGCAAAATACTCGAGATTGGCCATCAAGGATATTCTTTGTGACTTCACAGAAGGGATTTGCTTGTCTTCCTCTTCAGTCTGTTGCCTCCAGATAAAAATTCACTCTCTAGCCTCCTTGATTTGCATTTAAATTTTTTTACGTTTTTTGCAATCCTGGAGAAAGAAAGCTTGTAAGAGAAACACTTCTGAATTGCCTTTTGCTGTGTTGCCTGCTTGCTTTTTCCATACCTTTTAAAACAAATGCGTAACACATAATGAAACAGGCTTCTAATTTACTTCGTAAAAATTTTACTGTCTCAGAATGTACCAGAAACATTCTTTTAAGTCAAACAAATTGTGAAGATGCAGTTTAAGAGACTGAATAAGGTTATTATGTCCTACTGTTATGACTGAGCTTACCATAAGAAAAAGTTCTGGCAAAATCCAGTTCAGTGCTCTCAGCTTGTAAGGTGTTTTGGTTTAGGTTTTTTTTTTTTCTTCCCCTTAGTAGGGGAAATTGATGCAGACCTATGGGAAGCATTATCTACTATCTTATGGCAAATAATTGTTAACCTGAAGTTATCGATAAATCACTCTGTATAATATGAATTTGTTTATCGTACACATAATATGCAACATTATGTTTATATATGTTTTTCTTTTTTACTTCTGAATAAGATCTAATTGGTGGTCTGTGTTAGAACTGGATTCTTTATGGATTAAAACATCTAGCATGTGAAACTAGCCTTCAGTATAACTGATTCTGAGTCATACATGACTGTTTATTCCTTTACATTCCCAGTGCTGTTGATGCATCTGCTTTTTCTTGACTTCTTTGTTTCATTTAAGGAGTCTCACAAATACTGCTTTCTGTAATTTTATCTCTGTTTACTTAGTTTGAAACTTGATGACAAGCACACATACACCTTTAAAAACAGAGTTTGTTCCTTTCTGCACTGTGTCACAACTTTTAGTATAGTATTGTTTATCATTGAGTTTGGGGGGAAAAAATCAACTTTTCACACTTTTCTCTAACACATTTTTTCTTCAACAATTGAAAATTGCTTTACAAGTTTTAAAACCGAAATGTCCAGAAATATGTGATAACTTAAGAAGAATAAAAGAAAAAAAGGAGAAAAAATAGTGTTTGCCTCTATAGTACTTAAGTAGTAAATATGATGGCCTACCTTATGAAAAAAAACTTTTTTTTTTTTTTTTTTGTTAGAGTATGAAGATGGTGATTTGTCATCTTGGATAAACAGAGAAAGGTTTCAGGGCTACCTTAACGTTGATGGCTTTACGCTGTATGAACTTGGAGATACAGGTGAGATGCTGCTACCACCAATCCCCTTGACATCTTGTGTGTAAGAAAAATTAAAAGAGTACTAAGAATGTGTTTTTTAAATCTCAGAAATTAATCAGTCTCAGAGTTCAAGTTGGTAGTGCCAGACTTTTTTTGGTGTTGGTGAGACCTGTTGTGTTGACTAGAGGTTTCATTCACAGCCTTGTCCTACACTAGTCCTTTCCTCACAACATGTTTGTATGTCTAATCCTGTGGTATTCTGAAAAATTAGTAGAACTTTTAATTTAAGAGCACCTTAGGTTTTGTGTAAGTTGTATACGAACTCTTGGAATACCTGCAGGGAATTTTATGACATATGGACAGGTTCAGATGTCTTACATCTAATGGATTTAGATATCTTTAAAACATATGGAGTGGAGCGTGTGCTAAAATGGACTTGTCCCAGAAAACTTCAGCTTTTCTCTAGTAATATTTTTTACAGGCCAATAAAAATTTTTGCAGCCAAGTGACTTCTGGAATAGGCAAATAATCTGTACTGCTCTTAAGATATACATACTCTGAAATATCATAAAAAATGCTGTAAGTGTTGATTTTTCCTGGCCAGGGTATCTTATCATCTACATTCCCTTTCAAAGTATTTATATTCAATCAGCATTGAGTTCTTTCAAGTTTTAAAGATTATGAAACATCTAGGTTCTCACATATAAAGCTAATATTGTTACACCTACATTTTAAACAGTTATTTACAGAGGTGCTGTTACAAGTTTTTTAAATGTAGTATATTTGTTCCTGTGACATTTTTGTCTAACAATTCCTCAAATTACAAAAAAGAAAAATGTTGACTTTATTAATCCAATGGAGAAAGCATCATTTACTTTAAAGAAAATGATGTACTTGGAATTTATTTACGTTGTCTTTTTCAGTCTAAAAGGTAGTTGACTCCTGGTGTATTGACTAGGTAGTGCCTTACAGTAAGGAAAGAAATGGGGAAAAGTGAGAATTGAGGTATGGAAGAAGTGGGATGGGGAGAAGCTGTTACTGTTTCACAAGAAAACCTGGGAATGAATCATAGTTCTTGCTCTTAAGACTCTTCAGTATTACTTGAAAAAAAGTGACTTTCCATTTTTGAGGAGAATGCTCCCTATGGCATGATGATAGGTAGGAACAGAGCAATAGGTTGTCTTGGGGGGTGGGGGAGGTTTGAGTGAATCATGACATCTGAAGAGAATTAACAGATCTGCACTCTGTAGGCTTTAGTTAATCTGGCTGATGACTACACTGTTAGCTGATCTGCTTTCCTAGCAGGAAATGCTTGATCTGGAGAACCTTTGGCCAGCTTTCTAAACGTACTTTGATCTGATTCACCGTCAGAATCTTTGGGTTTTGGGGTTTTTTTTCTGTTAATCAGAAAAACTTCACAAACTAAATCTGAGAAATCAATATATTTTGGTGTTGGCCTTTAAGCTCCTCTGACAGAGGTCTGTGGACTAAATTGTTTTTATGATGTAATGAATTCTGGGCTGTGACAGTAAATTTTCCAAATTTTTTTTTCCATAATACTCCAAATTTTTAATAGTGTGAAAAGTAGTCATTACTAAATCCATACAATAGTGATTCAGTGGAATCAGCTTGTAATTACTATTATGTAAAAAAGGTCTCCGTAGTCTCATATTTAGGTATATGCACATATGCAACCTGAGTAGGTTATTAATTTTTATCTGTGTTTCCTCCCTTTTAATTTCTTTCTAAGGATAGACTTTTCATAGAATGCTAGTGGTGTGGCATTAAGCCACATCTTCATTTATTTTCAGTAGCTTTTAGAAAACCACATTTTGGTCAGCTCGAAGAGGCTCTTTGGCTTTGAGATTGGTTTATACTTAAAAACTAATTCCTGTCCCTGGAGAGTATCTGCTCTTCTAGGTTGGCATATTTTCCATCTGAGAATGTATGTTTCTTTTTAAGTGGTTTCAAGAATTTTATTCCTTATTTTAGGAAAACTTGTGGCTATTGCAGTCATTGATGATAAAAACTCTTCAGTGGAACATACCAGGTACAGAACTGAGTATGGGTGACACTATGGGAGAAATGTGCTGGTATGACAACTTTAGAAGTTTCTTAATTATTAAGAAATACTGCGTTAAATGAGTGGGTTTAACTTGCACGTGTTCTCTAATTTCTGACTTAGTGTCCTGAATTTACTTAATTTATGACTCAGTTGAAGCACATATGAGTTCAATGAGATGATGGGAGTTCCTGACTCACTCTTCTGCCCTTTGTTAATGAGATCACAGGAGCCAACGATGATCTCACAGCTTTTAAAAGCTATTGTGTCACCTTTAGATGAGAGTACTTGAGTTCAGATGACTTTGAGATGAACTTAGTAAGTTTAAACAAATGACTGTACTTCAGCTCACTGGCATTAAAAATTAATGTAGTGATGCTTACATATTAGTTGTTTGTGGAACATTTATAAAGGGATTGGAGTTTGAGACTGAGAGGAACAAGACCTTCCTCTGTCCATTTCTGGTTGCATATGTAATTAGACTAAGAAAATGCTGTTCAAGTACTGTGTATGGGATTTTAAACCTTTAGGAACCAAGCACGATGAGCCAGGTGTTTTTTGGTAATCCTCATTGCTGATGAGGTCCAATTTGCTGTTTTCTGGGGAAATCTCAGTGTTTATTGTTTGTAGTTTGAAAGAGTATATCCTGGATTATCAATGTTATTTCTTTTTGCCTCCAGACTAAAGTCCATTATTCAGGAAGTCGCTAGAGATTACCGGGATCACTTTCACAGGTAGGCACGCATGGTACTTGCTCTGATATCTTAAATGAACTGTCTTCTAGATCATCACTTTTTTGAATTACGTTGCTGAGTGTCTTCAGTTATAGGAAAAATACTTAAACTTTTGGTGAAATCCACTATTCTGCTTTCTTTTTCATCATTGCTTTTTTCACCATTTCTCTTACAGGGATTTCCAGTTTGGCCATATGGATGGAAATGATTACATTAATAGTTTACTAATGGAGTAAGTAAATTCTTATTTGAATTTTCTTTCTTCTCTTGTATTTGTTACTGAATATATTTAATTAAAAATAATCTTATGAAGAATTCCTAGCTTTCATGGCTCAAAAAAAATCAGTGTCCTGAGAATTCAGCATGAAACATAGTAGCGGTTTTATGTTAAATTAAACTGCATAATTTAATATTAGAAGTTCTGCTTACTGATAATACTGATTGACAAAGCTTATCTTTTAGGTCTGCTTTGTTACGTTAGTAACTGTTAGAATTGTGGGATTTTCACTCTTGATGCATTTTTAAGACATGCATAGAAGTATGCTTCTGTAGAGAAGCAGCATAAAATGCATGGAAGATGCTGTCTGCTCTTGATATGTACATGGCAGATTTTGAAATATATAAGTGGTTTAACAAGACGCTTGACAGTTGCCCTTGTTATGGTCCGTGTCTAAAAAAATGCATAATTAGAGAGTTAAGTTTCTTGGCATTTACCATTGCCTATTTGTTCTCCTCTGGCATTTGGAGTGAAAGAAGGGAAAAACTGGAGGTCTGTATGCCAGCTCTGTAAGTTTTCCAAATCCCTTTCTTGGGTACCAAAGCGTTAATAAAGCATATGTTCTTGCCCCTAAAGGTTCTAGGAGCTTAATGGGGACCCAGGAGTCATAAGATCTGTATTTCTGTAGGATGTCTGTAGATTTAAGACCTGAATAAAATTCATTTAAAAACAACTGTCTCTCAGTTGAAGTCAAGTAATGTGATTGAGCTTTATAGTTGCCAAAAGTGAGACCTTCCTCAGTTCATTAATTGCCTCTCCTGTGCAGGCTCTTACATCTGACTGTCTGCTGAGCTGTTTCAGCTTGTTTATCTGGCAGAAAAATGGTTTTTGTCTGGCCACGTAGGGAAGTTATTTTGCTGATTCAACAAAACCCTTAAACCTCTTCTGCTCTGCTGTGTACCAGAACTGATGTGCAGAGAAGTAGGGGGGAGGGAGATGAGGTCTCTGGGAGGAAAGAAATGAAGGGAACGAAGACAGAACTGCCACTCAGAGTGGTAGTGATCTAGTGGCAAGGTCTGTTCAGCTGGGTTGTTTAACCAAATCTGCAAAAGGCCTGACTTTATAATTTGTAGTATATGGAAAGTTGTTGCTCAAGTATTCACCGGCTTTTGACTGTTTTCTAGACAGAGTGTATACATTTCAAGCGTAAGTGGAAAGCAGCAAAAGAAAGCAGCAAATTATGTTCAGTGTTACAAGTAACTGCTCTTCCCGTGGGTGCGTGAATAATTCAAGTAAAACCATATTGCAAGTGCTCTGGTTTGTCACCAGATGGCAGCAAGTGGAAATAGAAAAAGCCTCCTGAATAGTGAGAAATTTATCACAAAATAGTTTTTTGCTGTGCCAGATGGACATAGGAACAAATTCTGTTTCTTCACAAAGGACAAAATATTGTATGATTTGTAGGGATAGAATTAATAGACCCTGATAGAAGTAAATTTATGAACTTGACTATAACTCCACGAGGAGACATTATAGTTCTTCTGTCTTTTCACCAGTGTATGAACATGCTTTTGTTGGGTTAGAAAAGGTACGATTAAAACTACACACAAAAGAAGAAAACAGAATATTACTTTACTGAAAGCGAAGTAAGCTAAGGTGTCATTGGGAATATCAACTAGAGGTGGATGTAGAGTATTAATTCCTCAGTTCTTGGAAGAGACACATTAAATGTGCTTTTATGAATCTCTGTATAGCATATAGAATCTGTATATGGAGGTTGTCTTTCAGCTGCTCTACAGTAAACTCCAAGAACATCAGTTACCAGACTGTTAAATGCAATGGAAACACTGGGTACTTTTTTGTTTGTTTTGAGGTTAGTTTTTTTTGATGAATCTTTCTGCATCCCAGTAATAAAACTTGTTCTCTTTTGGCTGGGATGATGTATTTTGGCAGAAGTTGCTGGCTTGTTACTAGACACTTGCAAAAACACCCAACTTGATTCAGGTGATTCTCTTCTCCCTTCCCTCTTGCCTTTAAGGAATGTTATAAAGAACACACGAGAAAGTGAAGATTCATGGATATCCTTTTAAATTATTGTAGCGATTACTTGACTTCGAATATTTTACATGGGAGTTCTTTAAATGTATAAATTGTCTGTTTTATGTTTCCAGTGACTTGACAATCCCTACTATTGTTGTGTTGAATACCTCCAATCAGCAGTATTTTCTACCAGATAGGCATATTGAGAGCACAGAAGACATGGTTCAGTTTATTAACAATATCTTGGATGGTACAGCTGAAGTAAGTCTTCATTGTGACTGGGAATATGTCGGTTGATGTTTATTTCCTTAGATGCTAAAGTAGGGAAAAGATTTGGTTACTCTGTCATGTGTTTTATCTTCCTGTCCTATCTGTCTTATTGTCTTGTGTGCTGGCAGTGAGTATGTGATTGTGAATTCTGGAGTTGTGCTGTTGCTTACTGTTCTGACTGCAAAACCTCTTGCAGAAAACAAGGTTTATTCTGTTTGTAGCATAATGTTGGTTGGCTTCTTTTGATGTTCCTTGTACTGGTGCACTGGTAAATGGAGATCTCATTATTAATCTCCTGGTTTGCATTAAATGCATTTGTTTAAAATTTTTATTATATTGCATAATTCAACCATACTCTTTCTTTTGGATGGTAAATCAATAAATCCAATAGGTGGAAGAATGATAAGTTCTGATTCAAAAAGCAGTGGTATACTTGCTTTTCATGTTAGAAATGGACACAAGCTTACCCATGTCTGCTCTGAAACTAAAATCGAGCTGTCTTTTGTTAAAACAACAAAGTAAATAAGTCCATCTGGAATTGATGGCTTGGATAATTTCTTAGTATTTATTCCCTCAGTATACTTTGTTAGACAGAAGGCTATGTTATGTGGATGAGAAAAGATCATGTATCAGAGCTTTCATTTGTGCTTGTGGGGGTGGAAGGCTTTCCCACAAAGGGGAGCAGTGCTAACAAATAATTTGGCTGCCTCCCAGGAGAAGCCTGTGTTGGTTTAAGCCCCAACTTGGTGCAGAATGCTTACTGTGCTAGCTGAATCCTGCTTTCCATTACATCAGCAGTTTTAGGTCATTGGGTGGTAATGGCTAGTAATGCTGAAGATCATTTCAGTTATATGGGGTACCTTGGTTTATTTAATCTGACAAATTGATGTAGTAACATAATGTAGGTGGAGTTACTTGTTGTTCATAACTTCACTGGCCATGCTTCCAATTGCATTGTGAGGGGTATTACTATAACTTATTTGATAGTTCTTTGTTCTTTAGTTCTCACTTTTTTAAGTGCATTGAATTATGTTATTAACATGCTATACTCTATTTAAATATATCCTTTTGTTTGAAACAACAAATAAAATTGATTTCTGACTGGTTTTTAATTTTGAGGAAATTAATTTGTGATGCCTCAGTTTGCTGCTATTTTGTCACTTAGGTCTTTCTGTTTTTTGTTTGCAGTATTCCAGCTAGAATGATTAAAGGTCGATCTAAATTCACATCTCTATACAAGACAAAAATATAGGATGTGCCTTCATTTAAGCTGTCTAAGGTGTCTACAGACATAAAATGGCACTACATTGGCTGTGTTCTTTGCCCAAGAAATTGTACGGCTGTTGAGGAATGACAGTCTTCAAAGTATGCTGGTGAACTGCTAATAGGAAGCAGACTTTATGAGCCACAGAGAAATTTCTGAGAAATCTAACATTTCACCCTTCCCTTCCTTGGGAAGTGTTGGATTATTCACCTTGACTTTCTTGGTATTTTCTGTAAGCCCTATAGGTAACCTTTTGTGACTCTGTTTGATCTTTGTGGACTTTTTTGCTATTTGAGGGGTTTCGAAAAGTCAGATCAGGTGCTGATCAGTTAACTTGCAAAATGGGGTTTATTTCTCTGGCAACTCAACAGGTGAAAACTAGTCCTGTTCAACAGACAGATTGCCCTTAGATTTGTGTAGTTATTTTGAACACTGCTAAATTAGGTGGCAGTGTAGGTATAGTCTGTCATTGCTTGACACAAGTTTTATTTATTGCACCTTCATATCTTCTTTTTGCTTAGTCCTTAGCTTTTTCTAACTGTGCTGTCAAAAATCCATAAATGGATATCCAGTAGCTGCAGGAAAGTTCAGAAGATCTCTACAGTTTTATTGATATTATATCAGGACAATTGCTAATTTTTGTTAGTGTTTCTCTATGGTGAGAGTGAGTGCCAGCCTACTATTCAAGTTGGCACTGATTGTTTAAAACTATTGTGAGAGACTTTTTCGTGAGACTATTGAATAATAGTTATCGAAGTTTGACAAGCTGGAGTGTCTGGGCATCATGAGATGTAAGAATAATTACTTTTCATTTCCTTCTAAAGGGACTTAAGATTGCAAGGTCTGAAGAATGAACTTTTGGAATCATAACTGAAAAGTGTCAGCAGTTTTGACTTGGTTGCATTTGAAATTTCAGGCACAGGGTGGTGATGGACTTCTGCAACGAATCAAGAGAATAATCTATGATGCCAAGTCTACTATAATGGTAAGTTTTATTTTTTCATTAAATTAGATGGTACCCTTGTCAATCACAATACAAATATTTTCAGAGAGTTAAAAAATATTTTTATATAAGTTGGTTTATATTATATATATTGCGTATATATTATAGGTATATATAAATTAGATTTAAGCCAAATTAACTTCTTGAATAAATATTTTAATACCTGTATTTTATAATTTTTCAACATAAGTTGATTTCTTAGTTTTTTCACTCCTTTTCTATATGTCTGACAAGTATTTTAAGGGATAGAACAGGGAAAATTCAAAATCTTTTCCTTGACCTTTTGACATACTTTCCTAAACTGGTAGCACGTTTCTGAGAAACGTTACAGTTTTGTTATAATTAGTTACGGCATAAAGGGATTAAATACTACTCTTTGTGTAGGTTTAAAGCAAATATTTGTATCGTCTTTCTTATAAGCTAATTCTGCTTAACAAAGTTTTGTTAGCTGGAGAAGTACACAAATCCATTTCTTCACTTGTCCTACACAAGCAAATAAACCTGTGCTGTGAATTTAAATTGAAACTTACGTGTTTCTATATGAGTGGCTTCTACTTCTGTGAAAGTGCAACTTTTAACCGTAAATTTCTGTAACCATAAGTACTTGTTCCCATGCCATTAAGCTACTCTTCAACAGGAAGCTGTCTAGTAACAGAATATTTCTGCAGATCCCTTATTACTTAAATTTTTGAGAATGAGGCACAAATAGTAGCTGAATCTGGTTCCTTGAAAGTGTTTTTGTAACACTGTTAGAACAATTGTTTCTGAAGCTTTAAACAATGAATAGGATATGCTGTTGGCCTGTTAACATTAACTACCCCAATGCAATATTGTAATATTTGAATTTTTAAGCATTTTTTTATAAACTTACAGTACGTATTGTTGCAATTGAGGACTCTTTGTCATTTTTGCAGAAGAAAACAAAACAAAATCCAAAAAAACCCCAAAGCAACAGCAATACAAAAACCAAACCCCAAACCAAGCAAGCAGAAAACCCAAAAAACCTTACCCTTCTCCCTGAAAAACCACTGAGTCTCATTTTGGATATTTTTGAATAAATGCACAGAGTGATAAGAGAAGTAATGCAGTAACTTTGTTATTCACTGAAAGTCTTTTCTACTTCAAATTTCTATTTCAACAGTCTGTGTTCAAGAGTTCACCACTGCTGGGATGCTTTCTCTTTGGGCTGCCCCTGGGGGTCATCAGCATTATGTGTTATGGAATCTGCACAGCTGATACAGATGGAGAGGTATTTGAGCATGAGGGAGCTAAAAAGGAAAGTGGCGATCGGGAGCTCACAGATGAAGGCAGTGAGGAAGAACAAGAGGAGGAAAAGAATGGAAAATACACAGAACTTTCAGATGGAGAGCTTAAACAGAAAGACATAATGGAAAAGAAAAAAGACTAACTTGTTTAGCAGAAGAATTCTCTAGAATTTCCAAATAGATTTATTTATTGAAGGTTTTCATTTATTGATGATCTTCATGAAAGAGGACCGTTTTGTCTGCATTATGGTAGTTTTGACTTGCATGTATTCAAATTTTCTCAGAAATTGACAGAAAAAAAATGGATGTTCTCTTAATTGTCCTTATTAGATCAACAAAGAGGAACTTAAACTGAAGAAATCTGCAGGTACAATTCTATACCATTTTTGGAAGAGTTTTGAATTGTTCATTTCCAGAACAGTGAGATCATGTTACTGGACCTTACTGTATGTGGTGAACTGCTACTAGTATAGCCCAGCTAAGCACTCATTCACATAAAATTAGGGCTGAAAACTAAGAAAAATGAAGAGAGCTGTGAAGTCTTTCAGAGCCTGATAGCTAAAGACAAGTTGTGATTTTTCTAAGAAGTCACATCTTCTACCTGTTGCACGTTATTATGAAAAAAAAAACCCAAGAAGATTTTCTGTTTTCTCCAATTAAATGTAAATTGTTATGAATTGGAGACTGTTCTACCATGTAATAATATAATTATTGGCAGTCAAGAATGTTTACTTGATATAGGATATGGGAGTTATATTCTAAGTGAAGTGTTTACTAGTGCTCTAGCAGTTAAAAATATTGGAAAACTGTTACAAACTTTCTAGAACATGATTGCCTGTTGTTTTCTATGAGTGCTTGCACAGACTTATAGTGCAACAGGTCTTTAAGTTTCCTAAATCTGCAGCATAACTTTATAAAGGAAGATGTAAATATAAAGACCCTCTGATGATTTTGTATAGCTCTCCAATGGCAACGTTTTTGAATGATGTAAATTTGTTTCACAGTGTTTAATTGAGATTGTTATATATCTTTTGAGGTAGTTGGTTTTGTTTGAGACTGTTACTTACTCTGAAGGAGGGAGTTGTTAGAGCATAATATTAACATTCAAATAGATTGATCAGTATAATGCATTTTTCTTACCTTTTTCATCATAAAATTCAGTTTTAATACAACGCTGTGACTGTGAAAAGGACTAATTTGTGTCCAGGATTAAAATCTCCAAGGGGAAGCTATAAAGTAGCCTTTGGCATCAGTATCATAGAGAATCACAGAACTTATTGAACTATTCCTTGCTGGGTTTTTTTCTTTTTGTTCCTGTTTTGTTTAAGGCTATATTACTGTATAATACAAATTATAATGTCTTTCTCATAAGGCAGCTTGATCACATAAGAAATTACTATGCTCTAGCACTAAATTAAGGAATTTCAAATAAAAAACATGAGTAAGCTTAAATAGACAGGTTCTGTGTTTGAGTAAATTTGGTGATGCTATACAATGGTAACCAGGGAAAACATTGTATTCTTTTTCTTTGTAGGAAAGAAACTTGTTTCTTCTCTTTAAGTAGCTTGGTAACAGCTGACTTCATGTTGCAATACAGAGTAGATCCCTGACTTGAAAGATTTTGTTTATCAATCAGTATAAACAACATGTAAAGAGATTAGGAACTTTTTCAGAAAACTTCTGTCTGGCTTTGAATCCAACCTTTTTCCTTTTGGGTGGAGAGATAAAAAATGAATTCATAGAATACTGAGTAACGTGTCAGATACTTTTTTTCCCCATTTTTTGTTTTCTCCATTTTCCTTCTATGAATTGCCTTTTTTTTTTTTTTCATTTTTGTCATTATAGCTAATTGTACATAGTGACTTGAGTTTTCTTGTTTTTTATTGGTGTTTAATTTTTTTGACAGAGTCTTTGAGGTGTAGTTTTAGTACAGACGTGAAGAATGAGATGCTTAAAAATGTATTTAGCAAGTTTTTTTAACATGGTATGGAGGTTCTGAGTTGTTTATTAAAAAAGTCTAAAAAAAATAAAAAATCACTTACAGTAAAACCTGTAATTTCTTCGGACTTCAGCATAACTCAGTGCTGATAGTCAAAATATAGGACTATTAAGGCAGTAATATGTTTTTTTGTTTTGTCGTCTCTTTAAGATTTCAGGACAGATCAATTACATATTTAATTTTGGCTCAAGCTGGAGACCTGCAGCTTTTGACTTAAAAAAAACCTAAAGTGGTCACTGGAACGCTGCTGTTCCTTCTATGGAGTGTAATAAAAATTAAAAAATATTTGAGTTCTGCTGCACTCCTAAGAGCTGTTTCAACTATGAGCCTTTTTTTTTTTTGGTGGTTATTTTTTGTTCGTGTTTATAATCAGTAGTAGCCAGTTAACTTGCTGAGAAATCTTGAGAGATGTGGACCTGAGTAAGGAAAATACTGTGGAAGAAACAGATCACACTGGGATCTGTTAAAACTGTAGCACTTAGTAGTCAGAGTTAGGAGTAAAACCTGTGTCTTGATTACTTCTGAAGTCTAATATCCATCAGATGGGTACTGAACTATTGAAAATTAAACTTGAAATGTACTGCTGTTTTCACTGAATCCGTCTCCCAGCTATATTGAGCAAGTCACAGGGAGAAGAAAAGCATACAAGTCATATAGTGGGTGTCAGAAGTAATGTGAGATAAGGCATTTGCTGTGGTCACACAAGTAATCTAGAGTGCTGTCTGAGGGAGGGCATTTTATTTTTCTTCTGCAGTCTCTAAAGGTTTACTAAAGCAACTTCACTGTAATAACTTGCGATTCATGAAGTAATGCTGCTTTTCTAAGTCAAGTGTAAACCTTTTCTTTTTCTGTAATAAAAAAACATTTAAAACAGCTTGTTTCCTTTGCTTAATTTACCGTGTGTTAGGAGCTTGGATTTACACGTTGTGTAGGAGGGTGCTTGTTGAAAGAGTACTTTAGGCCTTGAGTAACATGGTGCAGAATTGCAGCTGGTATTTTGCAGTAGGAGTTAATATTTACTTATCTTTGATTTAGTGAGCACTCTAGCAATATGAAACAAATGCTTTTATCCAAAAGAAATTTTAAAATACCATACTTAAAAGAGTTTCTACAGAAACAGAGGGATGCTGAGGCAGTCTATCCCAAGCTAGACTGTTCTAGCTTACGTCTCCTTCTGGAAGCACTTGAGTAGTCTTGACACTCAGACATGCACAGTCTCATGCTGCTTTGTTATTTACCTGGGCTGTTTTAACAGCTTTTGTCCACACTGTGGTGCTCCCTGCTTAACGGATGGAAGGACTGCACTATCGTACATCTGATGTGCTGAAGATGGCACAAAAGTGCTTAATTCTCTTGAACTATTTAGGTAAAAGTTTTAGCTTGCTCTGTTTTGGTCCAGAACTAATGTACCCTGTTCCTCTTTTGTCAGCGTGTTTGGAGAAGTGATTGTATTTGGAAGAGTGGGAGGCTGGAGAGTTGTTCTGATGACAGCCAAAAGCTCAAGTCAGAGAAGAGGGTGCAAAATGAGAATGTGTTTCTCTTAAGCTGTTAAAATCTCATGAGACTACAGATGTTTCAGGTTTTATTATGCTGTGACAGACTGGTACTGGCTCTCAAATCTTCTCAGGGAGAAAAGCAGCTTTCTGCTGTTCTGTTCTCATCACTGAGCACATCCCTAACAGATCGAATCATACGAAGTTGTTACACCTTATATTGCTGTAACCCACAAAGACAATTTTGACAATATTGTGCTGAATGCTTTGTTGGACTCTTGGGAGATTTTTGTAAACTACCTAGGCAGCGCACATGTTCCCATAACAATTGTCTTTGATTTCTGAAATTTTAACCATTTTAAAGGATTATTGTGACTATCCCATACACAGTTTACTGACATAAAGCACAGTTTAGCAGCTGGTGTGAACTCTCCTGCTGTTGGCAAATCTCCTTCTGCTTACATGCTAAGGAGTATAAATATGTTTGCAGTTGTTTAGCAAGGATAAATAGACTACAAGTATTTTATATAAATAAGGGGCAAAGAAACCTTTAAGATTACTACTAATGAGAGGAACAGTATTGGTTTTTAGCTCAGTTGCAAAGTTGGCATTGTCTTCATCTGGGTTGATGACTGTCCTGACCAAACAGGTGGGTGGTTTTAGGTTGTCTTGAGTTAAGAGAAGCTTTGATAAGCTCTTAGGCTGACACATGAAGGGGATAAAAATGCATAGACAGGAGTAATGAGAATGGGAGAAAGGGATGGAACAGGGCCATGTATTTTCATATCAATGTCTTATGCTTTGAATGAATGAGCTACATTTAACATACATGTGGGAGTTTGTCCTTCCAAAAGAAATCTTATCTTCTCCACTAACTTTACAGAGAACCTTTGACTGGACAAGTTTGCCTGGCATACAGTGACTAGCATTAGTACCAAATCAAGGTTATTTATGAGTGTTTATGCTGTTTCTCAGCAGAAATGTACACTCCAAGTCACTCAAAATAGCATACTTTAATGGTCATCATTTGTTCAAAACAAAAACCAAAACCCAACTCTCTTTCATCTCTAGGTTGCTACACTGCTACTTTAAAGGAATGACAATTTGGAGTGTACTTAAATTTTTGCTTAGGTGGCAGATTGTAGTCTTAATGCTTTCAGGAATTAAAGATCTAATCAATAATGTAGGGTTTGTATTTTCATCTTAAAAAGTGTTGTTTTAATTTTTTTTTTTAAATTAAAATGCCACGTATATTTCAACAGTTGCTGCAATTTTCTTCTTTTTACCTGAATAGTAAATGTTAACTCGTAATCCAAAGCAGACAATAGATTGTGAAAGCTTTAAGTGGCTCAATACTAAAAGAAAACAAAAAAACTTGGGGACTTTGGTACCTAAATTTTTAATCCCCTCCCGAAGTAATTCTTTTTTTCTTTTATCATTGAGTTATTTTGACTTAGAACTGACATTTTTAAACGAAATACTGAAGGAATGCATATTTTTAGTCTTCATGGCTCATTTATGAAATCTCGAAATGCTTCAATCCCATCCCAAACTGCCACAGGCTACAAGAGATAGTGCAATATGTTGTGTTGACTTGAGATTTATCTGATATTACTGTGAGGTAAGAAGTATCAAAAATCCTTTTGGAGTGGGTTAAAGGAGAAGAGGAAGTAATTTCTAAAAGGTAAATAGAAGTATTGCTCTCTGTTGAGTGCCTCTGACAGACAGATGTCCCAGCATATGAGAAGGACTCTTTCAAATGGATCTTCAAGCAGCTGGGAGCTTCTTGCATCACATTCTTATGATTTAAAATAGAAGATTTCTAGAAGAGGGAGGGTAAGTAATACTTGATTTCTAGAACAGGATTTAAATGCATCTATGAATCTGGAACATAGTATATTTGTATTTTTACACGTTGCATCATGTGTTTTTATAATTTAAGTGGTCTGTCTTAGAGAGGAAAGCCTTCAATGCATTCATGTGATTCTGTTTCCAGAGAGCAACTGGAATTCAAGCATGATTCAGAAGCACAGGGTTCTTTCAGTGTGCGGTAACTGCACCAACTTGAGAAATCTAAATGCTAAGATATACTAAAAATAAGACTTTGAGTTGCTCACTTCACTTTGCAAAGGCTCAAACCATGTATAGAAAATTAGTCCAACTCGAGCATTATGTGTTATCTGATGGCAAATGATTATCTGTGACTTAAACAACCTTGAGAAAAGAAGTTGCAAGCCTTCTTTTAGTTTCGTAAATAGTGGTTATGAGGTGGGAGGAGTTTTTCATGCTGACATCCTTAACTGTTGCATCTAAAAGGTGTGATCTTGCCTAGAAACATGCAGTGAGGCCTATAGGGGAATGAAGTTTGCAGTGAGGGCTAAAGGTATGATAATCTTAAAGTAAGACCATTCCTCATGTTAAGCTACAATGGAGGCCAGGAAAGAGTTGTAAAGTAAAAGCATAATAAAATAGTGAAACTGGTAATACTCACATTCAAATAATATGCTACTTTATCATGCCAGTCATCTTAAAAGAGTGTTAAAAAGCCTGAGGTCGTATCAGGATACGATGCACGTTGTTGGTAAGAAAAAGGGAAGTTTTCTTAGCACTTCTTTTCACTTCTTCCCTTGAGAAGAAAAAAATACCTCAGTGCAGATCCTTGGTGTGAACTAGCACTGCTGAGCTCCAGCACTAGTTGCTTTTCCCACGTGATTTCCCAGAAGCAGGAGCTCTACTGCATAGAGCAGTGACTCTGGAAGCCTGTGTCACACACATGTGGGTTAGCCCCACAGTGGTTTTCAGAAAGAATTAGAAGTTGGCCACAATGAACATGAGCTGGAAAAGTGGTGGTAGCAGGGACTTCAGGAGCCCCAGCTTTGACACACAGGGCATGTGCTGCTGTGGACAGCCATCTGAAGGCACAGGGGAAAGGACGCTCTAAAGACTTCAAAAGGTCATCATTGCATTGCAGTGATGATGTATCATAAGGTGAGGAAGAATAGATGAGGTACAGAGGTGAGCAGACACAAAAGCCTGTGGGGTATTTCCTCTCTTGAGGCCCATGCATGCTTGTTTGAAGCTGGGACAAGGCCACTCAGTTTTGGAGACAGCAAGCTCATTCTCACAGATGGTCTGTACCTTTTGGTTCTTGAGCACTGGACTTGCCCTGTCATGTTTAAATTAGAGTGTAGACATACCATGGAGCATTAAGTTCAGTTCCTGGCCATCTTCTTTTGACATGGAGTGCAGTTTTAGGAGAGTTACTTAGGCCATAGTTTCATTATACTGCAACTTTAATGACAGTGCTGGCTTAAGGAGTTTCTATCCTCATGCCTTTCTAGGCTGTCCTTCAAATTATGGCCAGGCAAGCTGTTGGAAAAGCAGTGCTGTGAGTGGAGGAATGAACTGATCCAGGTGAATAAACTCCTTGGACAGAACATTGTGCCAGAGTATGAGAGAGCAACAAGGCTTTGGAGACAGCAGCAGAGTGAGAAACTTTTTTATGATATTTCATGACATTTCATGACTGTGCTCACTTAGATATTTATTTTGCCCTTTGCTTGCTGCCTCCAGAAAACAAAGGTGATTTGGCTGAGTGCTTACTTGAAGAGTGAAGAAACAGTGGGTTGCTATCCCAAGATCCCACTTTCAGTAGTACAGTAATATTGCTTATAATTCTCTTAACATCTCCTTTCTAGGAGACAGTTAAAAAGGAAGAAGAAAGATCAGAAGCCTTATTAGGTTCGGCAGAATGCATCTTGCATGGGATATAACTGGGTAAGAGTGGGAAGGATGACACCTCAGAGTGTAACTGTGGGTAATCACTGTCATAGCGATAGGATGACTCACTAGGTTATACATTTGTAGATAAATTCTGTTTTACAGTTCTGCATGTGCATTTAAGACCACATAATGCCTGAAGTCTGAGTCCAGACTCAGCAGTCCTTTTCATTTGTGTGTAACTACTTATGCAAATAACTAAGAGAAACAGGAGCTACATTATAGAAGGGGACAGGATTTTCATACTTGCATTTTAGGAGAAAAAATTGTTTCATGTGTAGAGAAAACAACTAAAGGAATTTTAGACTAATCCATCTGACATGTAGCAATTGCAAATTTTTGGGTATAATTTTCCATATGAGAATCTTAAGAGCTTTATGAGGTGGATAGATTTAAGAACTGTTTCAAGAGAAGGTCAAATGAAAATCTCACATGTCTGAAATGCTTACTTTTGGAAGCACTTTTCCCAAGTTAGGTGAGAACAAGGTTGTAACCTTGGAGAATCAGAGAAGGCAGTACCAAATGCTATATATATTATGTTCCCAGTAACTTGACAGAAAAGCAAAAGGCACCTTTACCTAGCAGTGGCCAGACATGCGC